AGCCCACCCTCTCGAGCCTCCACCGCAATTCTCACCCGTTGGGATGTGTGAGAGTAGAATCCACTGTCTGCGGCACCAAGGCTCCTCTCCCACTATCGCTCCACTGCTTTCCAGGTGATCACTCCATTATTTAGTTGCAATTCCAGTTTGGTTTTGGGAGGAGGTCAGCGTGACTCCCTTTCACTCCTCCGCCATCTTTTTCCCCCTCAAGAGCTGGTTTTTGAGAAGATAAACAAGATTGGCAATCCTTTAACCAAATTCATCAAAAAAGATGGAGGACTTAAGTAAATAAAATTAGAAATAAAAGAGAGTAACAACTGACATTAAAGAAATAAAGAAGATTGTAAAAAATAGAGTGAACAAATTGGACAACCTGGGAGAAATCGATATATTCATAGAAACATACCATTTTATAAAGCTGAATCAGGAGGAAGAATCAGAGATCTGAATAGAAACATTACAAATAGGGAAATGGAAGCAGTAATCCAAAAACTTTTTTATGTATTTTTTTTCTATTGACTCTAGGAGAGATGAAATGAAGAATAGATGGAAACTAAAAATGGAACTGCCTTTTGACCCAGCCATTCCAGTGCTGGGATTGTACCCTAAGAATCCCAAAACACCAATTCAAAAGAACCTATGCACCCCAATGTTCATAGCAGCACAATTTACAATAGCCAAGGGCTAGAAGCAAGCTAAGTGCCCATCAGTAAATGAGTGGATCAAAAAACTATGGTACATTTACACAATGGAATACTACATAACAGAAAGAAAGAAGTTCCTACCCTCCACAAGAGCATGGATGGAACTGGAGGATATTATGCTAAGTGAAATAAGCCAAGCAGTGAAAGACAAATGCCATATGATCTCACCTATAAGTAGAACCTAACCAAAAACACAAAGAAGGGTAAACACATCCAGAGACACTGAAATAAGAAACTGACAGTAACCAGGGAGGGGAAAAGGCGATAACAGGGGAATGAAGCAGAAGCCCCATGAAATAGCACATGTAAGGACTCATGGACAAAGCCCAAGGAGAGTAGGATTGAGGGTGGGAGGTGGGGTGGGTGGGGTGGAGGAGAGTGGTAGGGTGAGAATGGATACATGTTTACTTGAAAAACAAACAAAAAAAATCATTGATGTGAGAGAGAAACCTTGATCAGTTGCCTATTGCATGCACCTCAACTGGTGATGGAAACTTCAGTTCAGGCATGTGCCCTAACAGGAAATTAAACCTGCAAGCTTTTGGTTCGCAAGATGATGACACAGAATCAACTTAGGCATAGAGGACAGGGGCAAAATGCTCTAATCCAATAAAAAGTCTTGGACTGGATGGTTCCCAGGTAAATTTTATAAAAGTTTCCTAGACAAACACATACCTATTCTTCTCAAACTGTGCTAAAAAAATACCCCCAAAAAGTGAATTCCAATGAACAAAATAAACTAACAAGCCAAGCGGAAACAGTAGCATGGGTGCCTGGGTGCACTGACAGAGGAGAGGGATGAGGAGAGACTCAATAAAGGGCGTTAAAGGAATTAGCCGAAGAACATGTCTGCACGACCCAGAGACAGAGACAGCAGTGTGGGGATGGCCAGAGAAAAGGGGCATGGCCACTGCATGGAGGGGGGCAAAGAAGTGGGAACAGAAAACATCTGTGATATTATCAAAAATAACAATAGAGTAAAAACAATAGTATTTTTATGTGATACGTTGCAAAACAACAGGAATGATGGTGGGTTAATTACTGTTTACAAACAGCACAATATCTGAACAACTAAATGTCCTAAAACATTTATGAGACAAATAACACTGGACATAAATCATGCTAATGTATATACAGCATTGTAAATACACTAAAAGCAAATAAATTGTGCACTAAAAAATGGTTGAAATGGCAAATTTTATTTGTGTGCATTTTAAAACAATAAAAACTACGATATTATTAAAAATAATGACTGCTTATTTGCTCTAATGATCTTGATATTGGCAACTTAATATAGAGTAAAAGATTCAAGATAAAGTGACACTTGAAGTATGATATATGTTATTGGGAGGTTGAGCAAAATCTGATCCCCAATCTCTATTGATAGCTTTAATATAGTAGGGAAAAGTGAAGTAAATAAATAATGAAAATGACCATAATTTCAGAAAATTGTTATTTCTAGTTTTAAGGGAAGATATGTGGCCAGGATTGTAGACACAGGGTCTTCTGAATGCTGGCAATGAACTGGTTCTTAATGTGTGGTTACTGTTTTTAACTTGATTATGTTTTATTAATACATATATACATTGTATAAACTATTTCATTCTTTCTAAATAAGCTAGCTTAAAATTGACATCTATGGTTTTGTTCCATAATCACTTTGGCTTTAAACATAATGGCCTTATGTTTAATATTAACAATATTTGTACAAAAATATAATGACCCATTTTCAATGAATGACAATTTTCCCTTAATAAGGCCACTATGAAAATATGATATTATGTGTTTTGAAAGAATCGTCATGTCTATTTGAAAATATAATGTTTAGTTTTTTAAGTACTGAGCTTATCTTAATAGAAAATGAAATGATCATGTCTTATTATTAATTGTAAGGACAAAACATTTAAAAATTGTTATATGCTCTCTAATGTGTAATGAGCTTTGCCTTTCAAAATACATAGATTATGTCCCATATTGTCAATGATCCTGAATTTAATAAATGTGTCCTTTCTCAAGAAGTGTAAAGCCCTGTAGTGATGGCCATGGCAGGAATAAGACCGCACACACCAACATGGATGTATCGCAGAGACACAGTAGTAAGTAAAAAGAAGGAAGACTGTTCTATTCATCTAATCCATGTACAGGGGTGGGTAAGCACAGAGGATGGCAGAAGAGTCAAACTGAACCTCAGGCCTTGTTAACGGACAACCCACGAAGGAGTGAGGTTTTCTTTCTGAAAAACAGCGTGAGAACAGTGAGGGTCTCTCGGGGGCATTGTGAGATGGAGGGAAGGGAACCGTGAGAAGCCCCGAGAACAGACTCTTCAGAAGCACCCCGATATGTCTTTTCTCCAGGCAATTTCTCCAAGATTTTGTACCTCTGAAATATTAATCATTTATAATCATGATTGAAGTTTCCTGTTTTCATGTCCTTGATCGTGTCAGATAAGCAGGTATTTTGAGTTTGGTGGCTCTTCTTACTTAGCCATTGATACCAGAAATGAAGCTCATTATTACCATGATTCCTACACAGTGACAAGCCTGGAATTATACACATTTTACAGACAGTGAAACTGAAAAGAATTTACTTACTCCTAATATGCAATTATTAACATCTGAGTTAATTGCCTTTTGAAGAATAAGCAGACATTGTGCACAGGCTTATAGTGGCTGTAGAAACAGAAAGGTAATCCTGAGAGTCACTGGCCTTATGGAGCTGATGTTCTTATAAAGAAAGAAAGGGGATCAAGGAATGAACGTGCAGTACTTCAAATGACAATACGTCCTCTAAAGGGTAATAAAGGGGAGTGAAGGAGAGGGGACTGGATGGGATTACATAGTAATGTAAGAGGGTCAGGGAACCTTCATGATACTGAAGCATTTGAGTGAGGCCTAGAGGGAGGTGAAAGAGATCATGGGAATCTCTAATGAAAGATCATTTAAGGGAGAGAGAACGGCCTGTACAGCCTGGACTTGGAGCAGAAGGCCCCTTCCCATGCTCAAAGGTCAGAAAGGCACTGTGGCCTGAATGAATAAAAAGGATGAAATGAGAAGCCTCTCCCAGCACTCCGGGCTCCGGAGGCTGCAGAGGGGCTGTGGCCAGAGAGCAGAGCAGCGAGCAGGCTTCCCAGGAAGTGGCAGCACGTTCCTCGGTGAGTCTCATCTCCAGTCCTGCCTGAGGGGATTATCTTGGAAGCCACATCGTCAGTCTCCTTCCAAATGTATACATAAAAAAGGTAAAAGTTAAGTTAAATAAGTGATTTTTCTGAAAAAAAGCAGACCATGCATAAAGTAGTATTGATTCTGGTTCATGACCCAAGGATTATAATTTTTAAATGTTATGCTTTTTTATTGAAAAGAAACAACAAATACAAAGAAAATTTTAAAAAAATCAGTGCTCACCATAAGTCTTTGAGACAAAGAGCCAAAATGTTTGGTCTCTTGGACAAATCTTAATCAGTCAGTAATGCCCAGAGAATTGTAGTTATGTGATCACCTACAATTCCAAAGAGATTTGAACTCCCATTGTGGCTGGAGTATAAAATTATTATTCTGTTATATAGTCACACTGTGAGCAAAGCCAATCCCCAGATTGCTTCCTTTGGACATTTTTCTTGTATTTGTGCCAACACTACACTGTCAAAGTAAGCCCCGTGTCTCTGTGTGTGCTGGTTTAGAGGGATCACAGGAAGGTTCTGGATTCTTTGTCTGAGCTGCACTAAGGGTGTCTGCTCCAAACAATGGTAGACCCCCCCAGATGTAACCAAAGTTACCTCTGTATAACATGTGTTGCCTCTTCTAACTAGTTTATCACTTTTACAAATTATCTATCTTAAGGTTTTCTCCCTTGGAAGATGAAGACTCAATTATTTCTTTCACTCCATCAATACACACACACAGACACACAAGTAATTCTTTTTATTTTATATCCGGTATTTTTTTCTAAAAAGCAATATTTAGTGTAGACCTTATTGTGTAGGTATAATGCTATTCATTTTTGAGCCAAGTAACTCTGATTTCCTTACATTTGAATCTCTGATGTACATCAGGGATGGAGAAAACTTTTGTGAGCAACAAATGAGGGAGGAGAGTGGTCCTGATCCTTAGACTTGTGCAATGATTTTAAAAAAAGGGAATAGAAAAAAAGCCAAAAACTCAAAACTCAGTGCAGAAAGACACTTTTGAGTTTATTGATTCAATGCAACTCTTTTAATAACTATTTACCTTCAGATGCATTCTATTATAATGCAAAAAAAATTGTAATTACACTTTAATATCATACAGGAGGAAAGGAGGGTCACTCAGATTTCACATCCAGGGCAAGGGGCCAACTCTCAGTAGCTATGAATGGGTTGGAGGCCTCACACTGGTAAGTCCCTGAATCTTCCTTCTTGACGGGGTTTATGGTGAGGTATAGGTGGTCTTTGGACAGTGTCATGCGCTCTGTGAGCTCCAGTTTCATGCCATTGAACAACCACCGGATGGAGGCCCCGTTTGTGTAGCAGTGCAAGACCACACTGTCGTCATTCTCTGTGACTGTGGTGTTACTGGCTTCGACTCTGGCCAATATCACAGGTGCTACAGAGAAACAGAGAATGTGACTGATTAAGAATGAGCTGGAGACATGGAGCCACGCTGCTGACGCAGATCTCAGCCACTCGCAGCCCACAGTGAGCCATGGAACAGTCACCAGAGTGTGTTCCCAACATTTGCAGAAGAAAAATTGTCTAAGTTCAGGAGGCCGTATGTAAGGAGAGAGCTGCATCTCCCCTCTGGCCCCACATACCTCAGGGTGATTCCTTAGCTGTTCTCTCAGACATCTTGTAGCAGCACCACAGAAAACCCCTCCCCAGCCCATATGTCTCATAACCTCAACATCAGGTACAATTTTTCTCTCATGAGCTTTTATTGATCTTTTCCTAGGACTTTTTTTTATTTCATAAAACATCAAGGCCAACATCACAGAAAAAATACTCAACAACACTTTTATTTATAAAAATGAAAATCAAAATTCTCTAGGCTGAATTTGTTGCTTTTAATGTTGGGTGTGGTAACTTAGCTCTTCAAATATGAGAATAAAAATTGCCCTGTGTAGCACCTTTCACTTCTCCAAAAGCTTCTTTTACCAGAGTTGGCACCTTTCACATCTCAGTCAACTTGAGTCTTTGAAATAACAAGACAGGCCTGTGCATCACACAAAAATGCATGTGAATTTGAGCACTCAGAGAACATATGGACTCCAGCTCTATGTCTGGGGAAAGTACAGGCTTTCTCACATGTCATTTAAGTATCAATGTTTGCTTATGGAAAGACATGACTGGACAACAGAGACACCCCTGAACTTCTGGTTCTTCACTGACCAACTGACTGCTTCACTGACCAGGGGTGTTTCCTTCCACCTGCAAAGGCTTCTATTACCCAGGTGAGGTGGGTTTCTATGAGGAACCATTTCCCAGGACATCCTAGAGACTGAGGTTCAAGGAGAAATAACACATAAAGACCAGAAGCAAGCCAGCAGTGAGTTGACTACTTAGGCCTCTGGGCCAAGAAGTGTGGGTCAGGTCTTTCCAGGTGAGTGTGACTGAAATGAGCCATTGAGCCACTAAATGATAGAGCAGAGACCAAGAAATGATTTAGGAAAGGGGAAAAAGGACTGGCAGAAGCTGATTATGGCAGCAGAATCCTGTGCTCTGCCCTTGATCATTAAACTCATCCTCTGTCCCTTGAAGGCAGGGAGGGGCATGTGCAACTGCAAAACAAGTATCTTATAGCCCGTCAGGAGCATGGGCTTGCTGAAATGCTGGCCCTTGAAGGCAATATGTGTTTGCTGGCTAGGAAACAGAAATTTGGAAAAACTTAAAATTCTTCTGTATGTGAAAATTATTATTAACATCCCAGGGCCTCAAACCAATTGCAAGAAAGACTGTTTTACTAGAGAAAAGAAAAATGTCTGAGATGATGGTCTTTGTTTCTGGGGGCACAGAAAGCCTGTCCCTCACAGTACAAATTCAGAATACTCAGTATCCAGTTTCCAGGATCTGATGAGATTTCGGATAATTCATTCATTCATTCATTCATTCATTCATGCATGCATTCATTTATTCAGTCTCCATTTCTTTCTTCATAATTCATCAAAAGCAACTGTTTGTTACATGTTAATCCCTGAGCTGGTTTCAGGGGAAAAGTGAGGAGTGAGAATTTAAAGTCCTTTCCTTTGATCTGCTGGGAGTGACTTCACCAAAACAAGAGCAAATAAATAAGTGTTGTCAAGTCCAGTGCAGGGAGGTGTGGATAGGCCACCTGAAGGGGAGACCTGTGCAGTGACTCTGACAATTTTGGTTCTAAATATTTTGGTTCTAGAGAAAAAGAACATTATTTATACTTTTTTTCCCTACACAGACCAAAATGTATTCCTATTAGCTGAGGATGCCTAAGACAAAAGGATCTGCACCAGTTTGTTGTTTAAGAACCCAAAGACACCCTTATGTGGCCTCTGAGGTAGAGGAATCAAATCTATGGCTACAACAGACCTTGTGGGACTCTGATCAGCTGTTCATGGTTGGTGTGACTCTGCTTTAGTGACTGTGTCTCCCTGTGCCTCAGTTTATCCTCGATGAATATTTGGCTGCCAAGTTATAAGTATATAAACTACAATACTTACAGTATCTGACCTAAACCTGGGATAGAAGAGCTGTTCAAATAAGAGAAATCTCTAATTGATTGACTTCAAGAGAGAATCCCCTGGGATGATCTCTGGTGATTGAGGAGCTGCCAGGAGCCTCTTTTTTTCTCAGTTTCATTGTGGGGATACTGACCTTTTTCTAAACCTTTCTAAGTCCCCCAGGACTGTCAGTTATATCCAAGAACATTGTCTAACTGTGCTTTCCACACAGTCTCAGGTGATACCAAAGTCCATTTCTGCCAGGAAGTGATTCTTGCACATGAGTCCTGACTGGTGACCAGCTCAGGAGCCTTGTGACTTGGGCATCCATTAAACCGCTACACACTCAGCCATTCCCAGAGGCCTAATCCAACCTTGCAAAAGCTCATGAGATTCCTTGGAGTCAAGGTTTCTGGAACAGGATTCTGGGGAGAGGTTTTTGAGCTGAGCTTGGTAAGAATTTCAGGAGGCTTCTCAGCCTAAGCTCTGACCTAGTACAGCAGGGTCATTCTCAGAGTCAAGTTCATAAGAAGTTGCTCAGGGTGCTTGACTGAGACTGGTCTCTATTTGCTAAGTTACTTCCATCATAATGATCCTTCTGTCTGCATTGACTGCTGGCAGGGCTGGAATTTGGGAAGGGAACTGAGGTATTAGAAAGTTTGTCTACACTCTGTGTACCCTGCATTAAATGTCAAAATCCAACATGAAACAAAATGCAGAGAGGAATGGAGGCAGAGTCCAGGGTTATCATCCTGTGTGTGAAGTAGAATTCACCCACCCGGCACCCAGAGGTCAGAGAACAATCACTCACGGTATACATGGAGCTGTCCAAATCCTATTTCTCTTTTTAAATCTCGAAGGAAGACTACTACAGTGTACTTTCCTGCGTAATTCGCAGTGACTTTCTTTATCAGCAAAGATCCGTCAGAGAGTATTCTCTCTCGACCAGTGTATTCAGGACCATTTACATATATTCCTCTGCTTCTTGAAAAAAATACAATTGCACGGTATTTGTCTGCAATATCCCCCCTGTACCACACAAAGTCTAAAGCACCAGGAGGTACATTGCGCATCTCTAGACGCACATCCTTCCCTTCAGCAACGTTGGCCGACACAATAGCGAGCTGGGCTGTGGTGGGCATGCTCCAGAAGGTTAAGACTAGGAAATAAGAAAAAAAAATTGATCAATATTTGTATGTATGCACTGTGATGGAAAGACGAGGTCCTGTATCCTGAGCAGGTCTATTTATCACTCAATCTTGGTCTGCGTGTGAGGATGTCTCAATGGTCAAGGTCAACAGCATGGCCCCCATTACTTCAGCACCTCTGGAACTCTTACTTTTCCTGTTTCAAATACTCTTTTCCAGGTGTTTTTTTTGCTCACCCCCTCACTGTGCACAGACTCCTTTGGACACTCAGAGGCATTTTGAAAGACACCTTTGCTGACCATCTTCTCTAAAGATCCTGTCCTCACTTTTTGATCTGACCCTGCTCTGTTTCACCCCCCCCCGCCCCACGGCTCCTATGTCACATCTAGATCCTTCCTTTTCCCTCTCTCCTCCATAGAACCTGGGCTCAATGAAAGCAGGGCCTTGTCTCATCTTGTACCTCCAGCGACTTCAACAGTCTGCTAATATATGCAGTTGAATGAATGAGCAACACTAGGCTCGTACCTTGTGGGGTATTTGACCCTTTCTGAGGTTGATGATAAAGGCAATGCCTAGCACCCCTGGTTAAGTTTTCTTCCTGGGGTTTCCTGACATAAATCAGTATTATTATTATTATCAGTTTTCATAATTCAATACTCTGGTGTCTAACAAGAAAAGAACAGCAATTGAGGTTTTCCTGCCTCTCACTACTTCCTGCTTATGACATTTTCCTCTTGCTGAGACCCTTCCCATCCTACTCTGCTCTGTTTTCTTTGACCTTCAGGTCCAAACAGAAGCCTTCCCTCTGTCCTCAGCAAACTGGTCTCCTCAGCAGATCCCAGCCAGTCTCTGTGGCAGATCCTTTGTCTACACCAAGAATTGCCTCCTACTTACCAATGAGTAGCAACCCTTGCCAGTGGACAAGTCCTCTGTGGGGAGAGACTGAAAGGGATCCCATGGTGTCTGCTGCCTGCCCTGTGGCTCCCTCTCTGAGAGAAGCTTGAGGTTCTGTGAGGCTCACAGGCACCTGTGTCCAGACTGAAGCAATCTGCTGAGTGTCCTACCTGTGCGCTCAGCTTTATGCTGGGGCAAGATTACGATTCTTGTCATGTGAGCTGGGGGCAGGTCTGTGCACAGGACCCTCCCACTCATTGCCTTCATTCCGCCGCACTTGCCCCTACTTACCAGTGCTCCTCCTCTATATTTTGGTTCCCAGGCAAGTCCTGAGACATCTCACACCACACACATGTGCACACATGCATATAAACACAGGCATATACATGCATGTTCTTATGCTGTGTTTGCAAAAACACAACCTGGGGTGTCCAGATTTTGGGAGTTCCTCACATCCCTGTCAGGTGTATAGCAGCCTTTCCTGCAGCCTCTCTCTTCCACATTTGACTTTTCCCTCCAGAGCAGGAGTTCTTGAGCTAAATCAGAAAAACCTGTCACAGGGAAGTCACCCCTGCTGTGCATCAGATCACTTGTGAAACTTAGTAAACATCACAATGCCCAGGTGATACCTTAAAAATGCAGATTTCACAGGTGTCCAGCTACTGTGGGTACAAAATCAAAATGAGATCACTAGATGTGACAGTAGAATCACTTCTCTTCCTCTCTGTGCACAGGCGAAGTCTCCAGATTCCATCAAGCTGTGAATTCTGACTGGGAAAGGATGCAGTGGGTCACAGACTCTGCACCTGACAGGCTCTCAGGAGAGGTTGGTCCCACTGGCCTGGGGAGCTCACGTGCAATAGCACAGCTGATGGGGGTCCATGTGCCCCAGAGAGGATGACCCACTCGTGCCAGCGTTGGCTTCTGTGGTGACTTGGTATTGGATCTGCCATCACCTCAGACAGATGCCCCGGTCAAAAAACAGGGATTATTTCTGTTTGTGACACAGAAATCCAGTTGGGATTCCAGTTCTTCATGTTCTCAAATCCATGTTCTCAGGAAGGTTTTATTCCCTCCCAGTAGGAAGGGCACAAAGATAACTCTGGGGTGGGAAGGGTTAAGCTTGGAGATAATTGCAGTGGGATCCTTCTTCTATCTCAGGTTGTTACCAGACTGGCTTTTGCTTCCAAGGACAAAGACTCAAATCCAGAAGTCTCAATAAAGCCAGCAGTTTGGGGTGTGAAGGGCAGTTGTCTTCAGAAGCTGGATGTTCTCATAAGTGAAAAGCAGGTAAATGGGAGGCAGGTAGGTCCCACAGGCCTTATTAGAAAAACACTCTAGTCATTTCTAAGCTACAGTCTATCATGGAATAAGTTTTGCTCTCTCACATTTCTGTATTATCCATCTTGTATTGCATTTACATACAGTTTGAGGTCACTCTATACACCAATCCAGTTTTAATCATCTGACCATGAGGTGGGGTTTTATTTACTATGGCTTACCTATTGTTCCTTATTCATTATATAATATTAGGGTGACTTTTGCTAGTTGTACACTTGGGAGCTGCCACTTCAAGGTTTATTTGGGCAACAGGCTGTGATAACGCCAGGCTGTATATTTCAATTACCACCTGAAGTTCCACAGGGTGAGGAGGACTGTAAGAGTTTCATGAGAAAATGTCCTGTATGAGAAAGACAAATACCATAGGATTTCACCCATATGTGGAGTCCACAGAACAAAGAGAGCTAACAAACAAAACAGTAACAGGCTCAGGTAGGGAAAAGATGACAGTGAGTCAGGGGATGGGGGTGGAGGGATTGAGCAAAAAGGGAAAAGGACTCACAGGCCTGGACCACAGTGTGGTGATTGCTGGGGCCTGGGGAGTATAAGGAGACTAATTGGTGATGGAGAAGGAGAATAGAACAAATAAAAAAAATTAGCAGATATTGTTTTTTGTATTTGTTGGAGTGTTCAAGTCATTGCTAACCTGGTTTCCTCTAAGTCTTAACATATAGGTTCACATGAAGGACTTAAAAATAGCCCCAAGAAATTCCAGCCTTTTATCTTAAAACAAGGAGGCCCAGAATTCTGAGGAAAACTCACGCAAGCTCACCTGATACACTTCCAGGAGTTGGTGAGGAACAAGGGTCCCCTGCTGGTACCCGGGGAAGTGGGCCCGGACGGGCTTCTCTGGAATCTTGCCACACTGCTCCAAGTAATGTCAAAGTAGGAAATGCTTAAACATGTAGAGAATTTTTAGGAGTTAATTTGAAACAGCAAACAATATCTCAACACATTGAAAAAATGTTCTAGGGGATGGCGGTTTTTCACCTTATTTTATACATTACAGTCAAAGGAGGAAAACATAGAGGTTACAACAATGTACTGGTGATGCCATACAGAGTTGGGAGAAAGCCAAACAGGTGAAATCTGGGATTGGATAAAAATTAGAACAAATAGTGTTATGTTTTTACATTGATGGGTATAGGATAGTAGTAGTTAACTAATATGATAACAATAACAATGAAAAGGGTTTTTTTTTGTTTTTCTGTTTTGTTTTGTTTTATTGCCTCTGCTCTGATGTAGTAAGGGTTCCATAAAGAAAGGTATAATTCTGACATTTTAAAGTTATATTATCAGAGATGCAAAAGACACCAGACAAAATGAAGTTTGACATTTTTAAATAAAAACACAGACTAAACCATGGCTACCTGTCTTGATTCACTTTTAGTTACTACGTTTTCATTTCAGTTTATCCTGTGTGGTTACTTTGTATCTCTGGCTTTATAAGGGTCACCAAGCAGGCATCCATTTAGTTTATCAGGTTTAGTATGTATCTTTTTTTTAATCCGTATATTCCATTCTTCCAAAATCTTTGAAAGGGAGAAGAACTAGAAATAATAAAAAAGAAAATATGGCCAAATATTTAATCAAATATACCAGCATAAAGTAACTTCCCTCTCCTGCCAAAAAAAAGAAAAAAAGAAAAGAAAAGAAAAGAAAAAAGACAAAGAGCAAAGAACCCATAACCTAAACATAAGGATCAGAGGCGTTCTGAGATGGGGAAGCCCAGGAACGATATGGAAGCTCCATTACTATCACCCAGTGTGTCTCTCCCTTGTAGCTGATCCTGAATTATGCCTTTATAATAAACCACTAATAGTAAATAAAGCCTTTTCTACATTCTCACGGTCTTTCTAGAGATTTAGAATACCTAAGGGGTGTAATGAAAATCCCCAAATTTGTAGTTGATTAGGCAGAAATGTGAGTAGCCTGGGCACCCCGTTTGCAACTGGCATGAGAAGTGATGGCGGTCTTGAGTTGCTGAGCCTTGAACCTGTGGGGTCTGCACGCACTCCGGGTAGTTCAGTGTCCGAACTATGTTGAATTGAATGGACATGCCACTGGAGATTTGATGGAAGATAAAAACCCTTTATCTCATATGAAAAAAAAAACTGGTTGGTGTGAAGCTGGAATTGATTGAATGTATGTAATCTGCCTCTATCAGGTGCTCAGGGAATTTGAGAAGACTTTATGTTCCCTCCCCTCTCTCCCTAAAACCTCTCACATCTTAAGAGAGCAAATTTACTTTTCTTTTCTCTGTTTTCATTGAGTAAGGCCTGAGGCAATGTACCCCCTCCCAGGAGGCATGGAGGCACAGGCCTGTGAACCTATCCATATAGTTATCTACCCTAAAGTGAGGCTATTTGCCTAATGCCTAAAAAACTAAAAAAAAAAAAAAAAAAAAATTGACACCAGGGTGTGGTGAAAAGAAATAAAATGCATATAGAGTATTTCAGAGGAAGTGTTGAAAAGAGAATGGGCAGCTAATGCTGTAAAACTGGAACTGCCCAGTGGCTTAAACTTCAGGTTTTTTAAGGGAAAGAAGTGAAACTAGATCATGACTAATGACTAGGGGTGTCAAAGTCATGTGCTTTGAGAATTGTTCAGTTATTATGTTTTCTTAAATGATAATTTGAATCTGACTTATTTCTCCCCGGCCATCATTCCGTTTGGGGTATATTGGTTATTAGAGTCCAGAGGTCTCCCTGCTTACAGACAACACAAAGTGCTGCAACATCTATTGAAACTGTGTTGGTGCCCTTAATGTAAGAGCAGAAAGCAGATCTATCCACCTTGTGTTTAGCAGGATACATTCCTCTCTTTGAGCAATATATCTCTGGCAACCTGCAAATTTATCTCCTGACAAGTTTCCTCTCTTTCACTCATAAGTGCCAGGTTATTTTTTTTTACCTTTTATTTTTTAAATTTTATTTGTTTACTTTCTTATTTTTAGAAAGGGGAAAGGATGCAGAAAGCGAGGGAGAGAAACACTCATGTGAGAGAGAAGCGTCAATCAGTTGCCTCTCCTGTGGATCCTGACAGGGGACCAAATTTGAGACACAAGCATGGGCCTTGACTTCTAATTAATCCAGCAACACTTTTTTTCTCTGTGGGAGAACGACCAACTGACCATTCATTCTTAACTGGAAACCATGACAGCCAGCCGTGGGAGCAAAAGATGTATTTTTCTCTCATCTTTTCAATTTCTCTAGCTAAGCTAATCGTCAAATTAACAGAGACAGATTAACAGGAGAAAATGGGTGAAGTTTATTATACTAATGAATATTCTAAAGTTGAAAAAAATAGAGACCCAAAGAAGTATTAGGTAGTTAAGATACAGGTGCTATTCTGAAGATAAGACAAAAAGCATTGTGGTGTGAGGCTTCAGAAGACAAAAAAGCCACTTGCGTGAAGGTTCCAAAGCAATATGTATGGTGAATAAATATTTGCTTGGCATTTCCACGTGCATGTTCCTCCTTGAGCTGGTCCTCCATCTAAATACTTCCTGGGCAGTTGAGAAGGAAGTTCACAGGGTTTTTTTTTTTGTTTTTTTTTTTTTTTTTCTGAGCCTTCGGTTTCCCAGTAACATGATCAGAATCAATATCCTAAAAGGTACATCTGGGGAGGCAACTATGCTTCCATTCACAGCAGAGCCAGGACTCTTAAGCTAGTTTAACATGTCCAGCTGAAAGCTCAATTCTGGTACACTGTGACATTACTTAAAGTCATTGAATGCCTAAATTATAACCAAACAAGATAAAATACTGAAACATTGTTTTGTCAATCTAAGTGCACCAACCTTTGACTCCTTATTACAGAAAACTTTAAAGATACATTTGAATCTGATAGGAAAAATGTTCCCTACTGTGGTGTTCACAGCTTCCCTATCGTGGGCATCTTAATTCCTGGAAAGCAACTCAACA